AGCATATCTCATGTACGACAAGATACAATTATCCTTTATTGTTATAACACTTCATGTCATTCAGCCAGTATTCAGTAATTCAGTAACATGTAAATAACAAAACTAATTATAATAAGAAAAGTATGAAAGTAAAATATGTGTGTGGTTGAGTACATGTATATATATCATTTTAATATTCGCTAAATGTTTACAATGTTATTGCTGTTTCTTTAATAGAATGCATTTACAATGGTACTGATTTCACGTGTACACAGTTAATACATGATGTTACCAATTTAATTACATGTATTGTTAACATAGCACCTTAAAAATTAAAGATTAAACCAGGTCATTTTGGGTAACTGCGTCTTGCAAAAAACAAAATAAAACAAAAACAAAACTCACTTAGAAATCGTTTTCTGTTAATAATTTTCTTAAAAATGTTATATTCATGAATGCTTGGATGAAGACATTTGCCAGTGCTTTTTTTTTTGTCCCTTATATATCTATATACAGAAATTAAATACATTTTAAAATAAACTGAATATCATAAATAAATCAAAGCATGCCCTGTACACACCATCGCTGAATAATTTTGTTACTTGCGAAGCACAGCTATGCAAAATATGAAAATATGCATGAACAGCATTGAGACTTTTTAAGCTTTTGTTTAGAGTTTAGACTTTAACCCTTTTGACACTTTTCTTGCACATTGACACTTACTGGAGGTGGTTGAATTGGGATTTAAACCTGGGTTTCTCTTGTCTAATGCAGTGATGTTTATGCCAAATTCTGAACCATTTGCATATTATGTCTTTACACTTTCCCACTGTCCATTTGGTGCATATGTGCTTCCAGTAAGCAAGTTCTTTCTCAGTTGTAGCACCTCCATGTCAACGTTTGTGTTTAGAGATACTATTCTGCACAGCCCTGGTGTCACACCTGATTAGTTGTTGTCACTTTCTTGTCAGATGGGACCAGTTTGGCCATTCTTTTCTGACTTCCTTTATTTGCAAGGTGTTTTTGCACACAAAACTACTGTTCACTAGATTGTTTTGTAAATACATACATTCATATATACACACACATACATATATACACATACATACACTATAAGTTAAGACCTTTAATATTATAAATTGTCGACATCAGGGAAATCTTAACATGCTTATAGCATGTTGTTTATCTGGAATCTGATAGTCTCCTATGAAAAAAAATGATTTAAAAAAAAATATTTAAAGAATTAATGATTAACTGATAATTATATAATTGTTAATTGATTAATCTGTAAACTGTAAACCAGAAACTTCCTTCATTAATATATTACACATCATGAAATACTGTATTTACCTTGCTTCTAAAGGTCCTCTCTTTACATGAGATTCATTCTTACAAACTTCTACATGCAAACAATACATATAGTGAGTTAAATGTATAGGAAGCACAACACATATAAAAGTATACATATGAGAGAAGAGTAGGCTTCTGATTCATAAATCTTAAATACAAAACAAGAGACAAATAATGGTGCAATACAATGGATAATTACAAGTGAAATAGATGTGGGTCAATTGAACACTCACACGTTATAGAGCTGTCTTGGCTCTATTTAGAAGTCCTGGATGGAATAATCTCCATCTATGGATACAGGTAGAGGGTCTTTAAGACTTGATATCAAGATGGTATAAACATCATAAGAAAAAGAAACCATAGCAAGCTGTTCGTTCAGCATTTTTATATCAATAAATTATCTTTTATTTCTACACACCTGTGGAGTACTTACTTTTTCCCAACTCCTGTATTTCATCCTGTTCCTGCATATATCCTCAGGTGGGGATTTTTCCACCTCTGGTTCTTCACACCAGAGCAGGTCCATGCTCTGGGTGACGTAAGTAGGATAATCTCCTTTCTATATTACCGCATTTATATACATACCATACCAGTGGAATTTTTTAATGTTTCTTTTTCATATGATGTTCATACCATCTGGATATCAAGCCTTAAAGACCCTCTACCTATATCCACAGATGGGGATTATTCCATCCAGGCCTTCTAAATAGAGCTGAGACAGCTCTATAAAGTGTGAGTGCTCAATTGACCCACATCTATTTCACTTGTAATTATCCACTGTATTGCACCATTATTTGTCTCTTGTTTTGTATTTAAGCTTTATGAATAAGAAGCCTACCGTACTTTCGAATCTATATTTTATTTATTCTAATCGTTGTTCATTTCTCTTCATTCAATTTTACTGTATATGTTACAATGGTGAGGGAACCTCTTGGTGAATTGTTGCTGCTTCAGCTGATAGTGAGTGCCTATGTGATCCCTGTGTATATATTACATATAAAAGTATACAAATTAATCAACAGTTTTGTGTAAAAGGTTTAAAAAGGTTTAAAGAAAAAATTAAATTTCAAATGTAAAGTATTCATTCCATCATTTTAATATTCGCTAAATGTTTAAAATGTTATTACTGTTTCTTAATAGAATGTATTTACTATGGTACTGATTTCACATGCACACAGTTAATAAATGATGTTACCAATTTAATTACATGTATTGTGAACATAGTACCTTAAATATTAAAGATTAAACCAGCTCATTTTGGGTAACTGCGTCTTGCAAAAAGCAAAATAAACCATAAACAAAACTCACTTAGAAATTGTTTTCTGTTAATAATTTTCTTAAAAATGTTATATTCATGAATGCTTAGATGAAGACATTTGTCAGTGCTTTTTTTTGTCCCATGATTTCTCCCATCTCTAAAATTGCAAGAGCCTAATTTTTTGTTTGATAATAGAAGATACTGTCTAGTTAAGCAATACTGAACTGGATGAAAGGATTCTCCAGTCAATTAAGATAATTAACCCCTTAACTATTAGAAAAGGTGACCAAGAATGCCTTTGTGAGGCATTGTTTTTCCATCTGGCAGTCAAAAGGTTAATTGCCAGAAGCAAAGCCAAGAGCCCTTAACAGTCAACCAGCTCTTTCACTGACAAATAAAGGCAGGCATCTTCCCACAAGCCTCCCTTAAAACACAACTGATGTCACTTAAAAACATTTAAGGCACCGATCAAGGCAAACATCATGATGCCTGTTTCTATATTTAGAATAGACAATTTAATCCCAAGGTGGCAACATTTTGACATTTTAGTATCTATTTTCTTTATCTGTTTAAATGTTATAGTGATATTTTTCCTTAATCAACTAAATTAATATACAATGTTACAATATTATCTCTCTGTTTTTAAGTGTACTTTTACAACACGGGCGGGCGGGATTTGCGGGCTTATGGGGAAAAAAATCATTGAAAACATGACAAAGGTTCATAGTTACTAGAATGACTATGGGTACATTTACATATTTACAAAAAGGGAGATTGCACAAATTGCACAAGACAAATGTTCTACACATTTACTGTGCAAGGAAAAATAATTAATACATTCTAAAAATTAACCAAAGAATGATGAAAGAATGATGAAATAACACATCTCTCCTACAAACATTGTAAATAGAAAAATATGTTTAATTACTATTATTGGGTCATCATACCCTCCAATATGGTAAATCCATACCCATACATAACATACCCATACCTATACATAACAGGTAAGAACCAAAAAATCTTCAATGGAACAAATTCACTCAAATTATCTGCATGGCATGTTAAAGAAATAGGTATATATACACACTAATGAGAAAATTAAATAATATGTGAAAAAAACTAGGTGTTCCCAGGTGTACCTCACAAACACCCAATAACCAGATTAGAGCAAAAAAAGTGGGAAGAAACCACCCAGTATACGTAAATTAATTAAATACAATCTGGAAAGATGAACCAGGATTAATAAAATAAGTATAAACCTGGAATAATAATAAACATTACATAGCGTAATACAGTTACAATAAAATGAAGTGCATGATGTTTAGATATTGCACTCACAAACATAAGGTGAAAGCAAGCTTCTCATCCCACCAGGGGTTAAAACAAATTGGAAAGCTGGTAGATTTCAATCCTCATAAATTCCTTAAATGGATGAAGGAAAGAGAGCCATACATGGTGAAGTACAGTAAAATCACAGAAAATGTTATTAAGATTGCACTTACAAGCAGGCAGAAAATCTGGGGATGTATCCACACAGAGCCAGCAGGAAGTAGTTAAAAACAAACAAAAAAACAAACAAATTAAAGTCCATATAGAGTCCAAATTACGCTGTCCAATGTGTTTCGTCAAATAGGGGGACTTCCTCAGGGATCTGGAGTTGTTCTTCCATAGAGGGACTTCTTATACTGGTGACAATCATAGTCCATTCGTTACATGTGTTGGCGTGCGTTCCATCCGTGTAACGCACTGATGTACGTGCTGTGTGACTCAGGGAAAAGATAGATGACGTAATTGTGAGAAACAGATCAATCAGAATAGGCATAAAACGCATGCGCATGAACAAACGGGAAAAAAACCTGAACGCCATGCGCGTGTGTATATCATGATTCATACCATTCATAATAAAAAGTGAGAACAAATAGACGAAGAGCCGCCTTTTTATATGAGTATATTAGAAAGTGAGAACAAGCAGGCAAACCACCACCTTTTTATGCGAATTGAAACACCAAACATATGAATATGCTAGAAAGGTGAGAACAAATAGGCGAATGACCGCCTTTTTATACGAATTGAAAAACAAAACATATGAATATGCTAGAAAGGTGAGAACAAATAGGCGAACAACCGTCTTTTTATACGAATAGAAACACAGAGCATAGTGTGTATGACACATATTTATACATACACTGAGCTGGATTTTATATAGTATTGAATTTTTATATAGTTACATTTAAGATTAAAAATTATTATTTTAAATTGATTATTCATTATGAATTTAATACCATCAGTAAAAAGATTTTGCATTATCCAAAAATTAAAGATACAACACCCCTCGGTCCAGACAGAACCAGACTGGGAATGTAGGCAAGGTTACAGAGGTAGTTCAGGGCCTAACCCTAGGGAACAAAACTAGAAATGAAGAAACAAATATGGGGAGGAGAGAGGACAAGGTAGTGAGGTAGTATAGGCGAGGTGGCCGACTCTCTATTTGGCCGAGTCCTCTCTCCTCCCCATATTTGTTTCTTCATTTCTAGTTTTATCCAAAAATTAGTTGATATTTGATATTAGATATTATGAACATGATTCAATATATATATTTGTGAGTGTAAAAAAATGAAAAAAATTGAAAATAGAAATGAAAATGAAAATAAGAATAAAAATAAATTAAATATAAAAGAGTAATAAATATATCAAGATATGAAAATAATATGAAAATAAAATAAATAAAAAATAAAAAAATATAAAAAAATATAAAATATAAAAATAAAAATAAATATAAAAATAAAAATAAGAAATATAAAAATATAAAAAAATAAAAATAATAATAGATCAAAAAATATAATGAATATGAAAATAAATATAAAAATTACTCACAGATAATAGGAAAAAACACAAAAAATTTAAAAAATACCAGCATAGCGTATCTTTATATATATGTCATATATTGAATACATACATATAATTAATCCACCACATTCTTTCTATGTATATATATATATATATATATACATATATATATATATATATAAATAGAGAACTGGGAGGAAAAAATGTATACTATAAAAGACCTTGAAGGTCTATCTCTGCATTCAAACCTTGATGTAAAGTTCTTAAATTATAATTCCAAAAGGCTTCCTGGCGAATAAATTCCTGTAAATTATTTCCACCTCTCCAGCCTAAATCTATCTTGTCTATGCCAAATGCTAAAAAAAATTCCCACCTAAAGTGGGGGCATGTGTTAAAATGTTTTGGAACATTATGATCTAATTTGCCCTTTCTTATATTATTGAAATGCTCCAAAAGTCTCACATGGAGTTTACGTATGGTGCGACCCACATATTGGGCTCTGCATCCACATTGTAATAAATAGATTACAAAAGTAGAGGAGTATCGAATATGTTTTTTTATTTTATAAGTTTTTTGCGTATATGTACCTAGAAAATTTTCTATTTTTCTTTTTTGGTGCTTACAAGTGGAGCAGCGACCACAACAAAATAAACCACTTATAGGAGTTTGAAGCCAATTATTTGAAATTGAGGTATTGGCAGGAAGGAGGCTGGGAGCTAATTTGTTTTTACGATTATTTGCTCCTTTGTATATTACCGTTGGAGAATCTGGTAACATCTCTCCTAAAATATCGTCCTTCTTCAAGATTTACCAATACTTCTTAAGAACTTTTTCAATTCTTTTTGCTTGTGCGTTGAATTGTGTTAAAAACGCAAATTGGAATTTACTATTATTATTATTAGTATAAAAGTTATTATTATTTTTATTTTTGTTTTTCCGTTGTGGAGTGCTGTTCTCCTGCAAGAGGAGAGATCTGTCAGTTTCTAAGACTATCGGTTCATCAATTTTCAATTTTGCTTGGTTATAACCTTTCTCAATGTAGCGTTTTTTAATGATATGGGCTTGTTGTAAAAAAATATGGTCATCAGTACAATTTCTTCTTAGGTGCATTAATTGGCTTTTGTGGATGTTGGCAAGCCAGGAAGGATGATGAGAGCTGAAGTGTTCTATAGCCGTGTTACAATCAGTGGGTTTGAAATAAGTTTTTGTTTTTAAATCATTCTGATAAATATAAATAGTTAGATCCAGAAAATCTATAGATGTTTTGTCAGATCTGAAAGTAAAGTGTAAATTATACTCATTCCTATTAACCTCCTTGAAATTTTTTTCCAAACTTGGGGCATCTCCCTCCCAAATTAACAACACATCATCTATGTAGCATCGCCATAGGACCAGCCTGCCCCCCGTATACTCTCCCAGGGTAATATAATCAATTTAAAATAATTTTTAATCTTAAATGTAACTATATCAAAATTCAATACTATATAAAATCCAGCTCAGTGTATGCATAAATATGGGTCATACACACTATGTTCTGTGTTTCTATTCATATAAAAAGGCGGCTGTTCGTCTATTTGTTCTCACTTTTTGTAAGGGATGGTATGAATCATGATTTACACACGCGCATGGCGTTCAGGTTTTTTTCCCGTTCGTTCATGTGCATGCGTTTTATGTCTATTATGATTGATCGGTTTCTCACAATCAAGTCATCTATCTTTTCAATGAGTCGCACAGCACGAACATCAGTGCGTTCCATGGATGGAAAGCATGCCAACACATGTAACGAATGGACTATGATTGTCACCAGTATAAGAAGAACAACTCCAGATCCCTAAGGAAGTCCCCCTATTGGATGAAACGTGTTTTACAGCATAATTTGGACTTTATATGGACTTTTATTTAATTTGTTTTATTTGTTTGTTTTAACTACTTCCTGCTGGCTCTGTGAAGATTACCATGCTGTATTTGGTTCCACATTGTGTGGATACATCCCCAGATTTTCTGCCTGCTTGTAAGTGCAATCTTAATAAAATTTTCGGTGATTTTACTGTACTTCACCATGTATGGCTCTCTTTCCTTCATCCAATTAAGGAATTTATGAGGATTGAAATCTACCAGCTTTCCAATTCATTTTAACCCCTGGTGTGGTGAGAAGCCTGCTTTCACCTTAAGTTTGTGAGTGCAATATCTAAACATCACACACTTCATTTTATTGTTACTGTATTACGCTATGTAATGTTTATTATTAAAACAGGTCTATACTTATTTTATTAATCCTGGTTCATCTTTCCAGGTTGTATTTAATTAATTTACTTATACTGGGTGGTTTCTTCCCACTTTTTTTGCTCTATCTGCATGGCATGCATCATCTGATTGTATACTATGTCTCCCTTTGATCTTATGCAAACAGAAGCTGCTGTTCCTGCCAACACTGATTCTCTTGATGCCAGGAACTCTGCTTGATACATGGAATGCTTCTGTGTTACCACCTACACTCTGGTGCAGGATATGGAGTATGGACAAGAGACCACTAGTAGTGGTCAACTTAGATAAAATGATAGACCAAGGAGGACAGATGAAAGCCCATGCCACCTCACAGCTGGTAGCAATTCCCCCTATATGATGTAAATTTAAGTCTGACTTCTATGCCCACATAACATTCTCTATGTCAGTCGTTCCCAACCAAGTCCTCAAGTACCCTCTAAAAGTCCAGGATTTAGGTGATTACCCAGTTGTGTCTAAGATGTTTTTAGAAAGAAAAACAAAAACTCAACAATGTAATCCCTAAATCCTGGACTGGTAGGGGGTACTTGAGGACTGGGTTGGGAACCCCTGCTCTATGTGATAGCATGGTTCTCCAAACTCTGACCCTACAGATGTTGCTGAACTAAAACTAAGATAATGAATGAAATAGATAGCCAGATAATCATGAATGTTGTAGTTCAGCAACATTTGGAAGGCCAGAGTTAGAAGAATCATGTGATAGAGTAATAGTTAGTTGTTGCCTCATGGAAACCTCTTCAAGTTTACAAATGTGTTTGCAAATGTTTTTGTTGGAGTCATATCTGTGTTGCTTGTCTACTGACTAAATGTGAACACATGGTAATCTCTGACGTTAATATATATAAATGGTAGACATGTGCCATTCGTTTCATTCCGAATGTATATTCGGACGAATTTCGTGCAAATCGGACATTCGGATGCTTACGAATGTCTGAAGTTGGAATGGTCAAACTGACGAATTTCCGAATTGCTGAAGTGCCGAATTTCCGAGGTGCCAAACTGAATTGCCAAAGTCCTGGATTGCCGAAGTTCTGAATTGACGAAGTTCTGAATTGTCGAAGTTCCGAAGTGGGTTAGGTGTATGGTTTAGGGTTAGGGTTTAGTGCTAGGGTTAGGGGTTATGGGTTAGGGGTAGGGTTAGGGATTAGGTTTAAGATCTGAATTACCAAAGTTCCGAATTGCTGAAGTGCCGAAGTCCCAAATTTTTTAAGTGATGAACCGAATGCGATTAGTCCGAATTGCCAAAGCAGACAATTTTTTTTTTACCTGAATTTCCGAACCAAATTTTTGGCCCATGCACATCCCTAATAAATGCTACTACTTTGCAGATTAATAGCTGCTATTGTTCTATTCCACAGCTCATGTAAGTTATGATTGTGGTACATGGCTGTTGACTCCAATGGGCAATCCTGAGATCCTAACACGCACGCACTACACTGAGGCATAAAATAAGACTACTGTATTAATGGAAGGGCTTTTGGCAACCAAAGACAAGGTTCAGGTGTTTGGGGTATACAGATTGAGATCTAGAATACTACATTAATAATATGTATGTGTTACCATGGTATGTTGCATTTTCCACACCAAAATTATATTTGACCCACAAAACAAAGTGAAGGACCTGAAGAAGTGTAATATGACCATTTTTTTTAAAGTTTAAGTTATAAATTTCTACTGTTTTTAGAATAATACATACTGAAATAGCACAATTATAATATGAAATATTGTTTTGCAAGAGCTAAAGATGATAGAAAAACTTCTTACATTCTGGTAGTGTATTGCCGGGCTATAACCCTGCATTAAAAACAAACAACATTATAACCTAACAATGATAACATTGATCAGCTATCTTCTTAAAGGTCAATGAGATAGTAATGACTGTTGACACAACCAAGATAACTTAAGATCCACAACTCAACCCCACCTCCCACTGGTAAATATATTTAAAAAAAAAAAACAGTCCAGCAGTAGCTCCCAACCCTTCAATTCAACGAGAAAAATCTTCCAAGGCATTATTGGCATTTACATAGCACCAGCTTATTTCACAATACTTTACAATGTTATAAAAGGAAGGATTTAACAACAAATTAAACAAACTATTACAAATTGTGACAGGAATGCCAGGCTGAAGATTATAAATGTCACATGTATATGAAGTCTTACTAGATAGATATGCATACTTCTAGCCATACTGACTTATTAATTTAAATGAATAGCTAGATGGAAATCCCAATTTTATTGTTGGCACTTACTAAAAACACATTTTAAGACTGCCTACAACCCTATAAAGCCTTAATTTAAATTGGTTGTGAAACATTTTAAAGAGCCATTATTATCACCAAAACCACTACAGCTTAATGTAGTGGTTCTGGTGTCTATAGCATGTCCCTGCAGGTAGAT